GCCCCCTCGTTTCTGCGGGAGTTCGGACAGCCGCAAAGACTGGTCTGGCGATCGGATCGAGAAAGTACTGAACAAGGCGTTTAGAGTTCCCACCAGGTGCAATTTGGATAGTCTGATCAAGGATGAGGCGAAACGGGGATTATTTGCCAACAGATGCCATTTCTATTGTGATGCATTTGGCAACAGCTAATGCTGCTACCTTGGTGACGATTATACGGGGCGGGATTCTTACCTGCGGTTATCTGCCAAGGCTCCCTCCTAACAATATTCGGCAGCAACCTTTTTAGGTTAACCCTGTGGGTTCAGAAGAATGGCTGCCGGCTGGGCCATTCACACGCTCCTGCTGTTCTACGAATGAATCATTTCTCTTCATTTTCTTTTCATTATTTCCCATTTAAAGTTCTACAAAAGTGGTATGTCATCAGTACATATGTTAACAATGGACACCCATGGAGACTTCATTTCCAAAGATCAACTTAGGCGTTTCAGATTTTTCAGTCTGAGCAATTCCTGTATGCGTGGGGCTAAACAGACGATAATTGAAATTGCAAGAAATATCATTCCTCCAGTCCTTACAGCGACTTTCAGTGGGTTATGAGAAATGAAGTCATAGTTGCTGATTTTGATAGCTTTGAAAGGAGGTTAGGCCAATTCAGGAAGAGAAAGCTAGCAATGATTGCTAGTCATGCTATATATTACCTTCAGTAGTAGAGGTGTCACGCTTCTTAATGCCAGTTGGTGGGGAATATGAGTGCTTATATAATTATATATTATGTACTTATATATTATATGCTGTGTGCATATATAGACATCTGTCGGAAAGAATGCTGACAATACAGTCTTAATCCAGTAAGGCTTTGTTTTTTTTTATATTCTTTCACAATAAATAATGTCAACTATCACCTTAAAATCTGAATTCCAAATCACTGTTCTTCCTTATGTCCTTTTCCCCCACATAGAATGGAAATCATTTGTTTAAGGACGTGTAAGATTGAGAGTTTTTCTTTCTAGAGAATAAGAGTGCCATTCTATGCATGTTTATTCCAAAGTAGACCCACTGTTCTTAATGGACTTTACTCCTGAGGTATATAACTGGTCCATAGAATCACTGAGAATTGGACACAATTGAACAGATAGCTGCTGCTGCTGCTGCTGCTGCTGCTGCCTCTTCCTCCTCCTCCTCCTCCTCC